TAACCCGAATATTTTGAAGTACTCATATAGTATTACTAGTGAGAATATTAACCCCCTAGCGCCGTGCGTTGCCATATGGCAACGCTAAAAAGGTGTAGATTCAAGTAATTCCGAAGCATCAAATTTTAAGCTATAAAGGTGAGAGATAGCCCACTCGATTCGAGTTAGGTGGTTCGGCTACGTAAATTAGTGACACTTTGAGTTTATTTGAAAAGTCGATATTATGGAAACCATAAACATAACAGCTTCGGGAAAACGAATCTGTGAGGAAATCAGCGATAATTAAAAATTGATTCAAAATATTTTTTGAAGTTCCTTTAATGACCGGAAGGGGGCGAAGTTACTATGATACTACGAGAAATTCGAACTATTTCAGAAAATCGTCGTGTAAGGGTAATTTTTTATTGACGGAAATGAGTAGGTCGTTGATTTATCGTTGTGTTGGTCCCCAGACTATTTCATCTGAGAAAAATTAGCGAACCTACATCTTTTCTCCAGTTGAATTTCAGAAAACGTACACAATACACATTGCATTTCAGAATAGTCAATTCAATTTCAGCAAGCATCAATAGTTGTTTTTGGGAATAGTCCATCAAATACCAAATAATCACTCGAAATTCAAAATTGGTTATTTGTATTTCAGAAATGTCATTCGTTTTTCAAAAATATCAGTTTTGTTATCCATAATAGTCACTTAAATTTCAGATAGCATGTATTAAATTTCAGAATACCTGGAATCGATTGAGTTCCAGAAAGCGTCATATTCGTATCATATTTAGTTCAGTCATAGATGAAACACACTCAATCTATGGTTCAGTCAAGGAATGGGTTGTAGAGGACATGATAGAGGAAATTTTTTTCGAGACTAGGGAAATCATTATCATCATCATCAAAATACTTTATTGTCTGAAGATAGATACATCTTATTGACAAAGTCTAGAATCCTAAATTTAAATTTGAAAGTTTATAGTTCCAATATACACACAAATGTTGAAATCAGTTTTTTGGACAATACACAAGATAGTCAATCAATAATACAAATAAAAATAAAAAATAAAAAATAAAATGATAAAAAAAAAATGTTGTCGGCACATCATCAAAAAAATATATATGTATATACATTGCACAGTGTGTAATGGACGTAAAATGTAAATTTAGTATAAATATTGATAAGGTCAGGTAAAATACATTAACAGCTAATGATTTAAACTAAAATGGAAAGTCCAAAAAGTTGTATCCTACTTGATCAGATTAATAAAAACTCAGCTAAATTGATCTTCGTGAAATTCCTCTGTAGTATAATAGGCCCTCACAACCAAGAACTCTTTCACTTCTTTTCTGAATCTGGATACACTCTGTATTTCTTTTAAATTGCTGGGTAGGTGATTGAACAATTTTCTGCTCTTGTAAATAAGAGAATTTTGAGTAAGAGCTGACGTAGGGATGGGGAGTGCAATATGGTGTCTTAAACGTGTATTATATACTGACGAGTTGTTTATATCATTTCTGTATTTCTTGTGAATTAGATATACTGTCTCTAAAATAAAAAGACCTGCCAATGTTAAAATCCTTTGCTCTAAAAACAATGGTCTACATGAATCGCGGCATTTGGCTTTACATAAATATCTAATGGCTCTTTTTTGAAGGGTAAAGACCATTTCAAACAGTTGCTGTGAACATGTACACCAAAAGCAAATGCCATAGCGTAGATGTGACTCTACTAATGAAAAATAAACCTACCTAGCATCAGCAATATCCAATTCGTGAGAAACACTACGTACAGCAAAGCAACCCGATGCTAAACTTTTACACAACTTGTTAATGTGGCTTTCGAATCTTAACTTTTCATCAATAAATAATCCCAAGAACTTATTTTCCGCGGCATTGCTAATTATTCCATCATCTAATTAAACCTCCCTGATGTCACATCTGAATGATACGATGTTCGTTTTGTTGACATTGAATGATAGGAGATTTGCATCACACCACTCTTTCACCCTTATTACATCCACACTGATGTGATCGAATAGATCGGCTATTGATTTATCGTGCCATAGGATTGTGGTGTCATCTGCAAACATTGTGAATTTACCCTGGATGTCCAACTGATTCAAATCGTTGACATACAACAAGAATAAAAGAGGTCCCAGAACCGAGCCCTGTGGGACACCAGAGTTGACAACACATTCATTGGATTCAATTCCATTAAGTAAGACAGATATGTTCGGAGTAGATAGAAAGTAAAAATTCCAAAAGTCCTCGAAAGTACGAGGGTAACCAAGTGCAGGAGGCAACATAAAAGGACCCTTCTTCTAAATTATCGTTCATATCTTGAAAACGATACGTCATAGCAAAAAAGTCAAATCAACCAAAATTATAACTGATAAAATTGTCTCTTATAATACCACTAGAGTTAATATTATTTTCGGAAATTTGACCTCGTGTGGTATTCGGTAAGAAAATTAAACACCAGATTGTGTTTGGAAACTGAATAATTTTAGAATTTATTTGTTCATTCGATTTGCATACAGGTTCATGAATAAATTAGGTTTGGGTCGCAGTTTATGCACCAATAATAGATTCCTGATTACTACCTATTATATTTGCATAAAAATACTAGTTCAAAATGTGACATATTGTATTCGTCCATTTTATATTAACTTCGGGATACTATAATACGCAATACCTCAATAATTACGTGAGGTACGGGTAAGAAAATTTTGTAGAAAAACTATGAATAGTTAGTGCATGAATTGGGCGTCCTGATTCCGAATCCGAAGTGATTTTTACGGAAATTGGGGCAGTTCCATGGCTGTTGGCGAGCAGTGTATATCACTGAAGATGACCCCACGTGAGATGCAATGGTGTTTCCATTAGAAGTGGGTCACACTGCATATCCATTTTTTCATGTTCATAATTTATCTGAGAATCATCAATGAGAATAGAGTTTCCATACAGAAAAAAAAAATTGAAGAAATAATTTTCGAAAAAACGCTCAGCTTTCAATTTTACCTACCTCAGGGATTTTTCCCCGAATTCACAATTAATAATATAGGATCGTGTTGGAGAAATGACGAGAGCATCGAATTTAACGGACTCACTGTATACAAACCCTAATATGTGATATATTTTTTTATATTCCTTGATGATCATTATTATTTCAATTCTGACAGGTTGACAAGTGAAATTATTTTCAGTCTGAGTTTCGTTCAATTTATCATCGATTCTCATTGGCAGTGATCATGCGTTCACATCAAAATACTGGGTGTTTCCGAAGTTTGAGTGAAACCAAGCTTGTCAAAAAATTTATGTCAGATATAGTTCATTCAAGACACTTGTTCAGATTACTAAAGACCTAACCATAATAATGAATTAATGGCATCTTATCGCGGTCACAGCAGTTTTGCCATGAAGGAGCTATCTTCAGGGTGTTTATGAATATTTTGATGATATTTTCAATTGCAACGAAAACAAAGCGTCTTACGACGAACATTTATGGGAGCGTTTCATCCTAATATAACATATAGATTGACAAAGTTTGACTATTATACAGTGGACCACCCTGTATACTACATTTCATAGTAAAATATATAAATTATCACCTACAATATCACGAGAGCTTCGATCAATTATTTCCGGACATTTTTTCGAGAACACGAATATTTTGAAATTTCTCCCGAGTCGAAGAATATTCGTGTTCGAGAAAAAATTCCCGTATATTGATTGAAGCTTAAGTGGTATTCGGTAAGAAAATTTACACCAAAATATTAATAGAAAATTACTTGGATAATGACAATTTTTGATGGTTTTGACATTTGAATAGTATGCTTTGTATGTTAACTCAAGAGACTAATATTTTTTTTATTTTCGTATGTCATTCTTCATGTCAAAACTGAAGAGTAGGTATAATTTCATAGTGTTTATATGAAAATGATAGTTGTTTGTGATGAAATGTAAGAACTAACTTATAGTAACTACATGTGTTTTTGTGAATTTCGAATTTGCAAATATACCTACATAATATTATATGGTTGATAAATATTTTCACCTACTACCAATATGTAATGTTGAACATTACGACACTGATTCTAGTATCGTAATGAGATACTTCACCGCACTAGTGCTGTAAAGCGTTACTTTACCGCACTAGTGCGGTAAAGTGAAAACACAATTTCAATTTCCATTGTTTTAGTCAAAGAAAACAGTAATAAGAACTACTTGATCCTAAATATAGCAGATACTGAAGTATGCATTGCTTGATTTCCCGCAATTTCTATACATGGATCAATAAATTCGTGATCAGAACTTTTTCTCAAATTGAAATGAACGCGTCAAAGTTGACAGTTTGAAGAATGAGTGACAACCGAGAACACAATAGATTCATGACAAGTATGTATACGCCCAACCCTTATTTTTGATTAAATAATTAGCGTTTTTGGTAGTAGGTAAAATATTGTTCTATATTCGTATCGTAAATTCATATTACGATAATCGATGGGTTATCAAACTCGGCCTTTGGCCTCGTGAGTCTTTACAATACTCGTATCGTGAATATCATTTATCTATTGACTTATAGATAGAATGAACTCTAAATAATCTGAAGTTGAATGTAAATGTCATTTAACCTATAAACGTCAAAAAATTTCCAGTGTAATTTCATGCTCCGTCCCCCAAGGAAGAGGAGAACATTTCCAAGAAATTTGTTTAGTTGCTATGGCAACGATACGAAATAAAGGCTTTAAATTGATCGAAAATGTTTGGTGTGAAATTTTCAATGAAAACTCACCATATTTGATTTTTACTGATAACACAACGTTTTTTTGAACACTTCACTGGAATTGTTTAATAATATAACATATCTACCGACACTTACTGCATACAGCAAATTGCTAGATTGTAATTCACCAACAATTTTATTCTGCTTATGATGCACAAATATTGTTTTGCAATTTTGCGGATAACTGCAAGTAGGTGAAAAAAAAGCAGGCACAAATTATTTTATAATGGTTTATTGTGGACATTATTTTCATATAACATATCTATACGGTGTTTAAAAAAATACTAACCTTCATTTTGCACTACTTTTTCATTTGTGACAACATTAAATCAATATTGAATTTTGAAGTATATAATTTTTGAAAACTCCTAGGTACTCCTAACCTTGCTAAAATGAGTTAAGAAACTTGATCCTATGGTGCCATTATCAGTAAAATGGTTTGAAAAGCCTATTGACTTACGAGGTGACTATATAACAAAAAGTTATGTAAACAAACAAAAGAGCAATATGTAACTACTACAGCTAAAACTTAGGTATTCACTTTGCACATTTTTTCATTTTATACAATACAATATTAAACATAGTTAACAAAGTAGCAGATGAGTACTATTCTTATATTATTATGATGATTTTTTCCCATACCGTCAAGATCAATCTTCGACATATTCAATTCAAAACAATCCTGGCATGCTATATTCAAGGAATCAGTGAGATGATTTAAAAATGAATGCATGATTTCAAAGCGAAACAATCACACATAACTGTTTGAAAATTACTTATTTTTATTCGATTTTGACATAATAGTTTATAATTATGTCGATAATCAGTCGATCATTCTTGACTTCTTCTGCATCTTCTGTGAAGTCTAAAAATCTGTATGATCTGGACCTGAAAATTAAGATGATATAGTAATAAAGTAGTAGGAGTTGTGAGTCTATTTTCTGAATTTCTTTTCTTAATTGTGCATTTTTTCATAGGGAAATTGATTGATAATTCGGATAGAGTTGTGGTACAGGGTGATTCGCCTTAGATGTCCCCCCCTCTAGCTCAGTTATTTTTGAACCGAATGCAAAATTTTAAATATCATCTGAAATGATTTTCAATAGAGTTTTTTTCCGCTACATCAGAAAATACAAGGTGCTCTGAACAAACGATCTACAGGGTACTATTTGATTTTTCAAATGGAACACCCTATATTTCTCATTGTATTTTTAGATTCTCCCTGAAGATTTGCTTTCATCAATGTATCACACTTGTGGTCTAGCGGAAATGATTACAGAGATATAGGGTGTTCATATTCGAGATTTTTTAACTTTAGGATTATCGGTCAAAACAGCTTCCATGTCCGTATCTCAACTTTTGATTTAATATCTACTGACATTTAATAATTGGAACAGATACAGGGTGATCAGAATTCTGAATCTTGAACCACACTGTATTTGTTCCAATTAAATGTCAGTAGATAGTAAATCAAAAGTTGAGATGAGGACATTGAAGCCGTTTTGACCAATAATGAATAGTTTCGACACAAAAAAATCCTAAAGTTGAAAAATGTCGATTTTGAACACCCTATATCTCTGTAAACATTCCTGCTAGACCCCCAAGTGTGATACATTGATGAAATCAGCTCTTCAGGAAGAATATGAAAATATAATGAAATGCAGGGTGTTCCATTTGGAAAAATCAAGTAGTTCTCTGTAGATCGTTTGTTCCGAGCACCCTGTATTTTCGGATGCAACGGGAAAAAAATGTCTGAAAAAAATCATTTTAGATGATTTTCAAAATTTTTGAATCGGTTCAAAAATAAGTGAGCTAGAGGGGGGACATTCAAGGTGAATCATATTGTACATACGGGGCTGTCCCATTTTCGATGTCTCTACAAGATCACCTATTTTCAAAGCTAGAGATTTACGGTTTTGGCGAACGTTGGATACTATTCACATGAAACTCACGATACCGCAAACAAAATGTTTATAGCCCGCTCCGGTTTTGAGATACAGGGCGAAATTGAAAATGTTACATTATTGGATCCCCCTGTATCTCAGCTCTCATTCAACTCATAGAAAAATCAAGAACTGTTTCATATATAACATTTTCGTAAAACCTAGTGGCATAGTTGGATTTCTGAAATAAGCTGATATTATTTAGATATAACTCAAAGTGATTTTGTTTTGAATGGAACACTCTGTATGTGTTTCTATAGTTGAAACATTGATGCTTTGCGCTTTTCAAAATTTTATAACAATATTACGATATTTTATTCAGATAATTTTCATTTTTTCAGTAGGTTTCTTATTGATGTGCCTTGTGAATATGTGGAAACATTTTCCATATCACAAATTTTCATATTCACAAGGTTTTTTGTCACACACTAGTTTCAATTTTACCAACATTCAACATTTATCAATAGTCAGCATTACCTAGCTGTGAGCCTTATTAGTAAATTGGCTATGAAACAAAAACAGTAAACATGAAACATCTATGTAATATTTCAAGATTGATTCCAAAACATTTCGAAATCACTTGAATAGTGAATAAGTGGAACATTTCAAAGTGTGAATGAGTGTAACGTATCATTTACTACTCATTCAGGAATGTTCCAATGCGATCGAATATGTTTGAAACAATTCAAGGTACCTCAAACTATTGACATTTTGAAACATTTCAAATATACTCGTATCGCACATTACTACAATATTCCAAGATAAGTTGAATTGGTAAATTAAGGAGCAATACAAATCACCTGAATTATGAATGATTGGAACATCCCAATATGACTCTCATTCTGAATAGTAAAAACATTTTTCAGGAAACATAATATATAGGTACCTAAAAATCTGATTATATGAAACATGTTTTCAGAATGTTTCCAGTATATGTATTCGGAACATTATTCATGAAATAGTTCTGAGGGGAAATATCTTCTGTTCCACAAATATTTCTGAAACATTTCAGGTAATATTGCAATACAAATTTTCATGAAATATAGCATGGAGCATTCCTACAGGATTTATGGTAAAAATGTTTTCAAAATGTTTCAATGCGAGTATTCGAATCATGATTCAGGAACACTTCCATGGATTATCCCTGAGGGCAGACATTTCTGGTTTCTAGAATGTTTCTGAAACATATAGGCATCTTTGAATGCAATGTTTCATGCATCAAATATCACGTTTCAGTTATATTTCCGAAACAAACAAATTTTCACTGGGAAAGCGAGTTCAGACCTATCTGTTGAATTTGAAAATTGTCCATGCACTGGGATAATTCAGGATATAAAAGCAACGAAAATTTAGAAATCAAAATATATGCCAACCATATATAATTCTTCGTAGTTTCGATATCATGGATTATTATTGGCCATTGTATAAAAAGAATTTGTAATTTCGACAGGTAGCCAGGTGACAAGAAATATGAAATAATCTGACTCGATTTTAATCATATCCACCTACTAATTAGTCCACAGTTTTATAGTCAATAAGTAGTGCCGAATATTGTTGAATGTTGAATGTTGGTAAAATTGAAACTAGTGTGTGACGCAACACTGTGTCAGAAACTAGGTGAATAAGTATAAAAAATTGTGATATGAAAAATGTTGCCTCATGTTTACATGTTCATATCAACAAGATACCAAACATCTAGAAGTTATGTAAATACAAAGCTAATACTCAGTATATCTTACAAGTGTTATGTATTTTTGGAAAGCGCAATACATCAATGTTTCAAATATGAAAAGCTTACTATTCAAAGAAACCTAAGTTTGGGTTATATCTGAATAATAACAGCTGATTTCGTAAATCTGACCCAGCCACTGGATTCTACGTGTGAAAATGTATAAGAGACAGTTTCAACTTTTTCTATAAGTTGAAAGATAGCTGAGATACAGGAGAGGTCCCAAAATGCAACATTTCCAATTTTGCCCTGTAGCTATCTCTAAAACGGTCTATGATAGCTGCGATATCGTGAGTTTCACAAAAAAGTAGCCATCGTCCGCGAAAACTGCAATTTTTATCTTTCAAAAATAAGTGATATCCTGTAAGCACATCGATATTGGGACACCCTGTACAATAGATCTCATTATGCAGGGCTACCCCGCTCTGAAATGGAAGTCTTCGCTCTAAGTTGCCAACCTAAAAACCACTGTAGAAGCAACAGTATGGAATGATTACTCAAATAGCTTCATTTTGGTGAAATCTGATTGTAGGAGTCTACTCAGCTTTCTGATGAAAGTTATTCAGAAGAGAAAATAGTTTTTCTAATTTTGACATGTAATGTGACACTTTTCAAAACTGACGGAAGTTTTGAAACGTCTTACTTTACGTAACCAGTTGCGTAAAGTAAAATTTTACATAACTGGTGATGTAATGTTCATTTCATTCATTCATTTCACACAACAAGAGTCGGCAGAACTCATGTAAAACTGGTCATTATTTTTGTTCATGCGAAATGTTTCGTCAAAATTAGAAAAAATATTGTACGTGACACGTTAGGAAACGCCATTTTGTGTAACTCTGTGATGTTGCGGGATCTCGCTTCGCTCGTCCCGCAAAATCCCATCGTTACACAAAACAACGCGTTTCCTAACTGATTACGTAAATATCTATTTTGTGAACATCACATCTGACGGGTTGAAAATCATGTTGGTGCGATGCATCTGCGGTACGTCAATACTGATATGTCAATACTTTCAATAGTAGGTTCATTCGGGTTGCGATTTCAGAACTGTTCAAGAATCGTTCTTGAACTGGGTACTTGCGTAGAACTAGTGCGCAGTCGTTACGAATCCTAGGACTGTTTCCTGTTTCAGAACGGTTCAGTAATTATGAAAACCCGAACGCGGCTGAAGAGACCCTCTGAGAACATAACCTTAATTCAAAATTTGCGGAAATAAAAAACAATAGTTTGGAACCTGTATTCGAACAAAATTTTGAAGCTTCAAACTCTCCTTTGAGTCTATTCACAATATCTCTGATGGAAGCTCTCTGTGAGGGAATGGTGAATAACAGAGTGGGCCTTTGAAAACGAAACAGAGGCTCTGTAGGTCGCCAAAACCGGATTACGAAAAGAATCTGAAACACGTCATCTACATTTTCGAGGGGGACATCGTCCTACAATATTTTCAGCCCTGCGGCGTTGCCGCTGCTAACGAAAAGAAGCAACAACTTTGTTATTTCAAATGGAACACCTTGTATTTTATTGCATCTTTAGATTCTCCCAGAAAATCTGATTTCATCAATGCATAACACTTGGGGTCTAGCTGTAATGGTTTCAGGGATATAAAGTGTTCAAAATCGAGATTTTTCAACTTTAACATTTTTTTGTGTCGAAACTAATCATCATTGGTCAAAACGACTCCCATGTCCCTATCTCAACTTGTGATTCACTATCTACTAACATTTAATTGGAACAGATACAGGGTGATCAGAATTCTGAATCTTGAACCACCCTGTATTTGTTCCAAATAAATGTCAGTAGATAGTAAATCACAAGTTGAGATAGGGACATGAGAGCCGTTTTGACCAATAATGAATAGTTTCGACACAAAAAAAAATTTAAAGTTGAAAAATCTCGATTTTGAACACTTTATATCCCTGAAACCATTACAGCTAGACCCCAAGTGTGATGCATTGATGAATTCAGCTCTTCGGAGAGAATATGAGAATGCAATAAAATACAAGGTGTTCCATTTGAAATAACAAAGTTGTTGCTTCTTTTCTTTAGAAGCGGCAACGCCGCAGGGCTGAAAATATTTTAGAAAGATGTCCCCCTCGAAAATGTAGTTGACTTGTTTCAGTTTTTTTGATAATCCGGTTTTGGCGACCTACAGAGCCTCTGTTTCGTTTTCAAAGGCCCACTCTGTATATTCCATCAAAGCAGTCGTAGCTAGA